GTCTCGATCTCCTGACCTCGTGATCCGCCCGTCTCGGCCTCCCAAAGTGCTGGGATTACAGGCTTGAGCCACCGCGCCCGGCCGCGGTATGGTAATTTCTTATACAGTTACCCATCCATTACCACATGACCCAGCGATTCCACAAATATGTATTTATCCAAAAGAAATAAAAATGTAAGGCCACACTTGTAAGCAGTTATTTCTAGCGGTTTCATTAATAACAAACCCTAGCTGGAGTGATCTACATGTCAATCAACTAGAGAATACAGAAACCAATGCATAAACTGGGATTCCAGCAATACTCAGCAGCTGCTCAGCAACAAAAATGAGTGAATGGCATCATCTCAAACATCGTTATGCTAAGTGAGAGACCAAACGAAGGACTACATAACATACGATTGCATGTCCATTAAATTCTAGAAATTTCACTATTGCAGTGACAGAACACAGATCGGTGGTTAAGTGAAGGGAAGGGGTGAGGGAGGGAGGCAAGGATTAAACAGAAAGGGGCATAAAGAAAGTTTTTAGGGAAAAGAAACTGTTCTCTACAGTGCCACAATTCAGGAGTAACTGGGTGGTGGAACTAAGGGGAGAGGAGGGTGTGAGGGATGAGGGCAGAGAGAAGGGCTGGGGAAGCAGGAGCTGAGGACAAGGAGCAGGGGAAAGGACTCCAAAGCAGTGGAGGAGCCTAGCAGGGGGTTCTGTGCATTCGGTGTTTCTGTACTGGGCAGTGTGGTAGTTACACATCTATAAATAATTACCAATATTCACCAAAAACTGCAGCTAAAACTGGTGAATTTTATTACATGTAAATGCCCTAATAAGCACAAAAACAAACAAAAAAACAAAAACAAAAACAAAAAACAACAACAACAACAAAAACGGGGGGGAGGCAAAAATAAAGACATTTTTAGATCATCAAAACCATAAAATTCATTTCCTAGGGGTCCTGTACTACATTTAATTTTAAAGGAAATTCTTCAGGATGAAGGGAAATGATACTAGATGGTGACCCAGATACACAGAAAGGAACAATTAACAACAGGAATGATGCACATACACGTGTCACATTCACACTCATTTTCTTAATTTCCTGAAGACATATGGCTGCTTGTCTAAAACAAAAAGTATTACACTGTATCATTGAGTTTATAATATAGATTGATGTAATATATAAAACAATAATAGCATAATGGTAGGTTAAAGGAAACTCTACTGTTGCGAGTATCCTTTATTTTGCTGGATGTAGTTTAATATTACCTGAACTTCACTGTGAAAAGTCAAGGAATCGGGTTTCCATTCTTGCAACAATAAAAAAACTAGTGTAAAGAAATATAGCTAAAAGCCACTAGGAGAATTAAAACCATAAACTAAAAACTGTTTATTTGACACATAAGAAAGTAGCAAAGGAGGAACAGAAACAGAAAGATATGAGACAAATTGAAAACATACAGCAAAATGGTAGACCAAAATCCAGCCTTAGTAAGCGAAGAAATGACAGGACTTTGCTCACATTAGCAGGACCGCTGAGCACTGTGGGGAGAACAGACATGGGCAGGAGGTGAGGGGCAGTATTAGTGCCAGGATTCAGGAGTGACAGGGTAGCGGGGATTTAGGGGAAGGGGGGATGTGAGGGATGAGAGGGGCAGAGAGAAGGGCTGGAGAAGCAGGAGGTGAGGAAAACGAGCAGAGGAAAGAATTCTAAAGCAGTGGAAGAGCCTAGCAGGGGGTTCTTTGCATTCGGTATTCAATACATTTTGTTGGACTGCCTAAAAACTAATTGGCTCCTTATGATTAAAAAAAAAAGAGTTACAAAAATGCCAAGTGTCCAGATAAAATATGCACACTGCTTAGATGCTCATAGTTCAGGAAAACAGGTAGTGCTTGAGCGTCGGTGAAGAGCATTGGGACTGCATGGAGCACTGGCAGATTTGAGGTGATGACTACAGGCTCCTCGTTGCAATAGACAGTAACAAACCCTGCTTCTTTGTATTCAGGAGATGTTTGGACTCACACAGGGAAACTCAGGCTAAGGAATGAAGATAATTTTTTTTTTTTTTTT